AACTGCCAGAAATTTGTATATTTTGCACTCAGTGAAAATTGCAAATTTTTAGGAAAGATTCTTCTTTTGTTCTGGTAGAAACAATTTTGTTTTCAGTTTTAGAAAGAAGAGGTAGTTTCTTGATTTGAACTAATCATCATGTGTTTTAAAAGCCTATCTTTAACATGCAGGTCTAGACTGATCAGAAGCACCTAATGAGTTTTCTTTAAATTCAATTAGCCAAGGTATAGTACATCACTAATTTTTGATATAACGTTCAGTGATTTGTTAGTTGAATATATCACACAGCACTTATCATATCACATGCCCTCTTTAATGCCCATCACCCAGTTACCCCATCTCCCTATGCCCCTCTCTTTCTGCAATCCTCAGTTTGTTTCCCAGAGTCAAGATAATCAGAGAGACACCATTATATTAGAATATGATTAGAATATAAGGACTAGTGCAAAGAACAAGAGGGGTGCAGGGGAAAACTGAATAGGAAGAAATCAGAGAGGGAGACAAACCAGATGAGACTCTTAACTCCAGGAAAAGAGTTTGGTTCTAGATGTAAATAACTCAGTAGTCGTATCTGAACCTGAACAAACAAAACAGGAAGAACTTCCCTTCATCAGCCATTCCTGGATTGGTATAGGCCAGACTGGAAAGACTTGATATGCCCTGTATCCTGAGAGTGGGCAGACTGGGATAGCACTGGGATAGGGACTAAAGGATCATAAAAGGATAATCATTTATGGGAAAGCACATGGGTTTCTTTTCTCAAATTTGAAACTAGAGATTCATCAGATTCAGGGATTCAGATAAATATATCTCTATTTTGTTTTAATCAATAAAAACAAAACGATGAACAATGAGGTGACTATTTTTGGGCATACTAATATAAGACCAGTCTTCTGCCAGTGTTCCCCTTTGCTGTCTTCTCCTTTGCTATCCACCCTCTGCCACCACTATCTTGGGAATATCTGGACTTTGATGAAGCTGTCCAAAGGCAAATAGATCAGATTAGGATGTTAAATATACTGCCTAATAATCTAGAAGTTGGTTCCCTGGTGGTGGTTTGGGAGACATGGTGGACAGGGGAAGGAGTACAGCAGGGAGATATTTTTCATAAGATGGCATGAGGCAAAGGGAGAGAGAAAGACATATTTTGGAGGTCCCGAGTTGGGAGAGAAGAGCAGATGGGAAAAAAGGCTCCAAGAGAAGGATCGGGTTGCTGGGGGCCTGCTTTTTTCTCCATTAAACAGTTCCATATTGAGGTTATTTCTGAAGACAAGAAGTGACACTGGATGACTTAGTCTTCGATGTCCTTGCTTATCCATAAGCTTGTACTATGTGTTGTGTGGCCTTCAGAGCACGTGCTCCACTACTTGCTGCTTCTGGGGAAACCACACAGCCATCTACCTGCCCACATACCAACTCATGTGTGTACGATTCTTCTACAAGGCCCTCTCTGAGTGTTGTGGTTTTGTGACAAAAGGAGCAGCCTGAATTCACCTCCACATGCAAATATTCAGTCCTCGCTCTGACATCCTGTGCAGTTTAATTTTCTTCTCTATCACTAACCAAAAATTCTGAAACCAATAGAGGAAACAACCCAAGGGATTACTCTGCAGGCCAAGCCCACCATGCTGCCAGGATCCACCACTCCTGAAGACATTCCTTTTTAAGACTTTTATTCCAAATGATAAACAGATCTCTGGCTACATACATGGCTCTGTTACTATTGTCTTCTCTCCCCTCTTGGCTAGTGAATAAGGCCATTTCTCAGTGGTGTTTTTGGGGTGTTGTGTTATAAGGACTGAATTATGGAGCATAGTTCCTTTCCCCATTCACAGTATTTGTTACTAAACTCAGGTGAGTCCTTGGAGCCAGGGTAGGAAGCACCAGGAATCTGTCTTCCCACCCAGACAAAGATTACATTGGCAGAAAAAGGTAACCTACAGAATAGGAGAACATATGTGCAAATCATATCTGATAAGAGGTCAATGTCCAGAATATACAAGAGAACTACTAAAACTCAACATTAAAAGAATAAACAACATGATTCAAAAATGGGCAAAGAACTTGAATACATTTCTCCAAAGAAGAGATATAAATGGCCAATAAGCCCAGGAAAAGATGTTCAGCATCACTGATCATTATGGAACGGCACATCGAAACTACCATGAGATAGTGCTTCCTGCCCATTAGGCTGACTACTATCAAAGAAAGAGAAAATAGCAAGTGTTGGTGAGTATCTGAAGAAATTAAAACCCTGTGTGTTGTTGGTGGGATTGTGAAATGGTATAGTCACCATGGAAAATAAAAGGGCAGTTTCTCAAAGAATTAAGCATAAAATTACATATGATCTAGCACAGCCTCATCTGGGTACATACCTCAAAGAATTGAAAGCAGGGTTTTGAAGAGATTCTTGGACGCCCATGTTCGTATAAGTATTATTCAAAGTAGCTAAAATGTGGAAGCAACCCCAGTGTCCATCAACCTAAGAAAGGATAAGGAGAATGTGGTATATGCGTACAATGGAGTATCATTCAACCTTAAAAAGGAAGAAAATTCTGAAATATGTACAACACGGATGAATCCTGAGGACGGGAAGTATTATAGCAACTGCCAGGGGCTGAGGGACATTGGGATGGGGAGTTAGTGTTTAATGGGCGCAGAGTTTCAGTTTTACAAGATGGATGACGAGGACGGATGGCACGAGGGCTACACAATATAAAAGTAGCTCAAGCCCCTGAACTGTACACTTAAAAGTGACAAATTTTATTTTATGTGTATTTTACCAAAAGAAAACACTGTGGAAAAAGAAATAGTAGGAGCAGACTTAGAACCTGCTGCTGCATGGAAATTTGGGGCAGAATGGAATTTATCTCCTGCCTCTAGACGTTACACGAAAACCAGAGCCAGACCCGAGTAAAGGCAAGGCTTAGGGAGCAGTTGCAAAAGGCTTTACGATGACCTCGGCAGCGACCTGCAGCCAGGAGTGTCTGAGGGGCGCTGCCCGGGAAGAGGACGCTACGGCATCGTCTTCCTCAGCCAAAGACCCAAACACTGTAGAGCGGAAAGCAGCTTCTGCAGAGTCAGTCGTGCAGTTTGGACGTCCGGACCCCGCGCACGTGCGAGCCGGAGTGTCCAGGTGAGTGGGCTCTTGTGACAAGCGTCAACGCGGTGCGATCCGAACCCGGTTCTGCGTCACCGGAGACGTGAAGCCGGTGCTACAGCAGCGCCGCCGCCGCGCCAGGCGGCACTGTCCCGAGAGGGCGGCGGCGGGCCCTCCTTCAGGGACGCTGCCACGCACAGGAGCGCGAGCTTCCGCGTCGGCGCTTCGCACCCGGGCGGGCCGTCCTCAAGCGCGAGCGCCGCACAGGGGTGCTCCGTGGCCTCCGAGGCGGGCGTGAAGACGCCGCGCGTCCAACTTGTGCTTTTGAGCTGCTTCCCCCGGACCGTCCACAGCCCCTGTGCGGCCGACCGCGCGGCTCCCGCCCCGGCTGAACCACTAACCACGGGCGGCCGCGAGGGCGCCATCCGGAAGGCTCTCCTCCAGCCCGAGGTGAGCCGCCCCGTTCCACACGCCGTCAACAGACACGCGGCCTCTGAATTGTTGACCCTGCAGTAGAAGAAAGGACTGTAGCCCTTTACGCCACGAAGCAGCCACAGGTAAGTCTGAAGCAGGACCCACGGACAATCTTTCCATTCCCTGGAGGTGAGATGAATTCTCCCCCGCTGTCCTTTGCTTTGAAAATGTGTAAATCACCTCCTCGTCTCCCTTGCAGCCCCACCTTCCTCACCGGACTCGCTGCTTCTTGGCTCTCGCAATTGACCTTCAGCGGGCGGTAGCATTTAAGGAGGGTTCGATTTAATTAAGGCAAGTAGCCTGGTACGAGGAAACCGTAGGCATTTCCTATGCCCAGGAGAAACACGATGTCGAGAGTGGGAGAATGAGTCTAAATAATAAAACTTTTCAGTTAGATCAAACATGATAAGAAAGGTCCTATTTGCCATGCATTTTATGTGCAGATATGCATAAAATATGTTGTGATTTTTAAACTAGCGATCTGGAAAACATTTTTTGTTTTTTATGTAACAGCAGAATTTCACCCCCATCCTGCACCTTTGGAGGTGTGGTTCCTGGACTGGAAAGCTGAGGTAGAACTAAACTGCTCTGCATAGGAAAGGCCTGTGGACCGGCCCCATGTTCACTGCAGCGTTATTCGCATGGCTGACATGGAAACAGTCTAAGTGTCCACCAAAGGACGGATGGATGAGGAAGATGTGGTGTATATACACAATGGAACGTTCCCCAGCCATTAAAAAAGAAGGCAGTTCTGGTATTTGGGACGGCAATGCATAGACCTTGAAGGGATTAAACTAAGTGAAAGAAGTCAGACTGTGAAAGACAAACACTGCATGGTGTTGCTTCTATGGAAATCTAAGATAAAGAAATGAACTACCTGAACTCATAGACAGATGGATTGTGGGTAGACAGAGGTGGGCATGGTGGGGTAGGTGAAACGGTGAAGGGAGCCAAAGGTCCAAACTTCCAGTTATAAAATAAATATGTTATGGGGATGTAGTGTACAGCATGGTAGAATACATTGTAAAGTATTATATATCGGAAAGTTGGGAAGAGAGTAATCTTAAAACTTCTCAACACGAGAAAAAATTATAACTATGTTCAGGGATAGTTAAACTTATTGTGGTGATCATTTTCCAATATGTACATGGGTCATATCATAATATTGTACACCTATAACTCAATTATATCTCAATATTTGAAAATGCCACATTAACCTTGGTGCAGGGAAGGAGGGGGAGTGGAGAAAGAAAGGTATGTGGAGCTCCTGTGGCTGGCTCGCTGCAGATGGCTTTAGGGAGGATGGAAATGTCTAATGCCAATTTCAGTTAGAAGTCTTGCTTTGTGGCTTACGACAGAAATCCTCTCTTTTGTCCATAGAATCTATAGTAAACTCCGCATCGCTCAGCCAGTACTCCTGGAGCGGATTTATTTCAGCCTTGAGTGGGGCTATAAGGAGTGCCGAAGGTCATCCTGGCTCCCAAAGGGAGGCCCAAGGTAGGTCAAAGTACCACCCTTTTGGGAGTGAGGGAATGCCCAGAGTGATTCCTTGCCTACCAGTGGTGGGAAAGTCTAAAATTAGAAAAGTCTTGACAACATTTAAAACACGTTTTATTCTGGACATTTCCAAACATATATAAAGATAGAAAAGTGGAATCCTCTTTATGTGTCAATCATCCTTCAAAAAAAAAAAAACCTTTCAAAATAAAAAAAAAAAAGATTCTCCATGTACCTATCATTCAGCTTTAATATTTTGACAAATTTGGGTTCATTTTTTAAAAGTTATATTATAGTTTTTCATAAAGCTGTATCCAAAGACACTGATGAGTCATTGAACACTACATCTGAAGCTGATGATGTACTATATGTTGGCTCATGGAATTTAAGTAAAAAAATAAAGACACAAGAAATGTTGAGGATATTAATTTTTTATTAGCAGTCATTTTAGAGAACAGCACTGGAAATTTATTTCTTTTGAAATAAACTAGAAATTAAAAGTGTCTTGAAGCCATTGGAAACCATATGATTGGTTGAATTAGTTTCTAAAATGTGTGGTGAGATAGCACTCAACAGGTGCAGTATGTGATTCTAGCATTTCTTTCACCACATTGTGAATGTGACCTGTAGAAACCAGAAGAAAAAAGGAGAGAGTAAATGAATGAACAAATTAGGATTTATCAGTTTCATCTGTCTTCACATTATCTTGTTCTAAGTATCAAAACTTTCCATTCCACCCATCCTCTACCACCATGCTTTGGCATATTTTGAGATCTATATCAAATCATGGCCCCTGGTTCAGTATAATCCATTAGAAAGAGTCACAATCACCAGTTAAGATTCAGATGAGTCTCCTAGGTTAGGGCCTCATTATGCTTCCTTTCTTGAAAGTTGCACTGATCTATTCTCCCACAATATTTGTTAAGTGCCTGCTAGGTATCAAGCATTGTTGCTAGGTGGTTGAGGGAAACAATGGAGCACTCTGTAGATTGCCAGAGTCAACTTCTGTTGTCAAATGTCAATGGATCATCAACCATGTCAAGGTAAGGGTCTCCAAAAGGCAGAGAGCACCAAACAGTCTTTTTCATTGACTGTACAGGTACTGTCACATCCTCCTTCCCTCAGGACTACTTAGGCATCAAATTCTGACTCAAGTTGTTAATATAGGACTTTTAACAAATGTCACTGCTTGAAAAGAGAGACAACAGCCAATTCTCTGGAGGTAGAATATAAGGAGGAAAAAGAATAATAAGAAAACTCCCTATCATGACTCTGCCTGAAACTGAGTAAAGCATGTTAGTCATTCCAGGAAGCCATTGAAACAGTCAGAAGACAAATGCTAGGATACAAAAATGCAACATGAGACGAACTAATATGTTTGTGAAGAAGACATCATTTTGTGGGGTATGTGGCAAAGAAATAACTAGGAAAGAGAGAGATAGGGCCAGTGACAACTTACACTCATGAATGTTGCACCTTGATCAAACATTCACAAAGACCTCTGGGTGGGAAAGGATTGTATAGATAATAGTCATTCCCGGGGAAAACTAAGCTTTGATTGCGAATTCCACGGGGACTGGCAATAAGAGATCAAAAGATAGGACACGTAAACTATTACCCACCTGTTTGAGAGAAATAGCTGCTCAGAAGATGAAAAATGTGACTAGGGGAGCTGGGAAACAGGGAAATGAGCAGCTACCTAACTCTGACAACACGTCAGTAACTTCTCCTCATAGTGGGGGCTTTGGGAATTTTGGATAACTGGGTGAAATATCCACCCTGAATTTATAGAAACTAAAGTAGCTTCCCATAGCTTTGGAGGAGGGATTCTTATACTAATATTCTGGTGTTGCCAAGAACACAGAAGTAGGCACATTACACAGTCACACTTACTTTAACAGCTCATCTGGTTAGTGTGGTAGCAGCACACCTAGGAACTAGACTTGGGGAAATGAATGGTAACACGCACACCTCAGCTACCTCAAATCATGGTCTTGTGAAGATATGCATGGGTGACACGGGACCTGTTCACTGGTATGTCACACGGCAGACAACCCAACAAACCTCGGAATTCTCTCCTATCCTTCCAGGTTTCGCTCTCTCAGCCTGTGGATGCTGACTACCAACTGTTGGTGTCGGCTGGCAATTAAAAATCCTTTGTCCTCCATTTTGTAAGCGATATTTCATGTATTTGTGAGAGCGGACCAAGGAAATAAAGGATGTTATTGAGCGTTTGTTTTGATACAACTAAATCAAAGAATTTCCAACAACTTACCAAGCACCTTTTAGAAAGCATTCATTGCTTTTCTTTTTTCAATATCTCGCTTGAGCTGACAAAGGGTGCACAGAGGAAAACATCCCAGCCATAGGAAATCACCACAAATAGATCCCTGTTAAAAAACAAACAGCGGGTCCACACATAGGCTATAAATAGAGTCACGCAAGTCCTTGCATTCGCATAGCTTTTCAAAACTCCTTAAAAGGTACATTTTATGTTACTGGTTTAGCATGAGGATTTTCATTATCTCCATTTTTCTGATGACCCACGTGAAGGTAAATTACTTGTTCAGATCACATAACAAATTGGTAGCGGCCCTTGGTCTTTCTTTTCTGAAGCCTGTGCCCTTAACCATATATGACACGATTTCAGCTGATCTGCAGGGTATGACTACAGCCCTCATCCTCTAACATCAATTCTGAGATGGCTTCCCTTTAAATCCAGTCATAAAATGCACCAATTTTTCTGTAGTTTGTGAGCAGAGCCAGATGGGGCCCCATATTTTATCCCTCTTGCGTTTTCATTGACATCTCTCAAGTTCTGCAATGGAAGACGTTTGGAGCAAAGGGGAGATACACAAATTATGGGGGAAGGAAGAAAGAAGAGAAAGAATTTGTTTGGAAAGCCATGGGATGGGGGACTTTGCAAGGATTTGAGGGCCCTCTCAATGGAAGTGTCCAACCGGGTCCTCAATGACCTTCCGGGTGACGTGCCCTTGAAGGGATTCCTGTTCTGGTGTAGGAGGCACTGAGGGAACCGGGGAGTTCTAGTCTGATAACCCGGTTTTATTACTGTGTGTCTTGACAGACTGAAAGCATTTTGAATCCATTATTTGATAGCACTTATGTTCTTAAGGTTTGAGTTTAATATAATTCCCAATTTATAGTGTGAGCTCGTGGGGTGGGGTGGGGGGTGGCAGTGTGTACGTAGGAGCTTCTAAATGGTGAGACTATGAGTGATTTATGTTTCATGAAAAGAAATTTTTCCTGTTGCTACAGTGCTTTGATCGTCATCTACCAGTGTAAGCATTTGGGGCAAAGAGCTAACCTGTCTATAAAAGGAGGTAACACTTCCCCCACCACAAGAGTTTGCAGGCAGTACATGAGCAACTACATGTCAGAATAATATTCAGCTCACGGTAGTACAACCAGTGGTTATCTCTTTTCTTCCTCCTTCTCTCCTGCACAGGTTGTGCCCTGGCAAAGGTATGCTCTCCTGGCTGTATCCACAAAAGAAGGGGCAGATCAGAGAGGTGTACTGTCGCAGCCCCACAAAGATTTGCATAGATATGAAAGGGAAACAAAGCAGAGAGCCTGAACTATATAAACCAGTCCTGGGAATTATTTTTAGGTCTGTTCAAAGGAGGAAATAGAGATACACTGTCTATAAATACTCCGCTTCATTGTATGTTGAGGAAACCTACTATAGCTAGAATCCTAGACCTAGAAATCACCTTGCACAACTTCCTCATGACAGATGAGAAAACTGATGCCACCACGTGATTTATCGGAGAACATGCCGAGCTGTTCCCAAAGCCTCATCTCCAGGATCCAGCTAAGGACCCCTTCCTACATACCGTGTCGGGGTCTTGGGTTGCGTTGAGAACGTAACCATCACATCATGTACGGAAGCGCACATGCGTGACACCTCGCACACGATTCAGGAAGTCCCAGTCCAGGCACAGAGTTAAGAGCCCATGTGTGTTGTGCTACGTTAGGGTTAACATGAATGAGGGCAGCCTTGAGTGCTGCGAAGTCAGGGACCTGAGCAAACACACAGGAGAAATGAGGCCAGGGCCCTGCACACACCTCTTCCCTGAGGAAATAGCTGAGCAATTCTCAGAGAAAAGAACAAAAAGAGAAGTAGTTGTTTACTGAGCACGTATTACTTGCCAGGTCCTGTGTTAAGCCCTTTCCGTACATTATCTCCCATGACTCTTGCTACCCCATTAAAGGGGAGGATTGGTGTGACCATTTATCAATGAGGGGGTTGAGGCTTAGGGAGACGAGCAACTTGCTCCCAGTCCATTGGGAGGTGAGTGGGGCAGAGGCTACATTTCGAGGAACAGAATCCGTCACATCACCCGTTTGTTTAAACCGTTTTCAGTGACTTCCCTGCTCACGCGGAGTAAAGCTCAGGTTCTTACAATGGTTCTCAAGGCCCTAGAGTTTCTAAATCTTGCTCTAATATCTTTTTCTATGACATCCTGCCCCCACCCTCTCACTCATTCTATTCCAGCCTCTCTGGCCCTTTCCAGTTTCTGGAACTTTCCAGATAAACTCTACTTTAAAGCCTTGGGCGATACTCTTTTTTCTGCCCAGCTCTTCCCCCTGTGGGTAACTTCTTTCTCATCCTTTCACTTTTGTAAGAAAGCCTTCCCTCATCGCCCTATTTAACATTAGAACTCCCTTTCTAAAAATGTGGATGGACATTGAATTTTGTTGACTGTTTTTCCTGCATCAGCTGAAACGATGATAATGGCTTTTCTTTTTGAATCTGTAACTAGAGTATTCTGATACTGAGCCATCTTTGCATTCCTGGGATAAACATTGCTTGGATAAAAATAAATTTTGTAATGCCGAAAAAAATAAAATAAAATTAGAATGCTTCAACGTTCTTTATTCCTCTTCTTTGTTTAATTTTTTTCTGTGCCACTTATTAGCATCCTATAAGGTTTTTACTGAGTCACAGTGTAGCAGTCTTCTCCCATTAGAGCGTGAGCTCTGCCATGGACAGCCATCATGGTAACCAGTAATTCAGGCGAGAAGCTTCAGCGGACGTTAGTCCCAGTGGCTGAAGGGCTATGAGGAGCAGCGTGCTCACGTCTCTCTACCAGGTCCTACTCGTTACGAAGGGAAAAATGGCGACCTTAGGTGGAGAACTTCACCAGAAGGTGGAGAACCTTATGGCGGACACTACCTTAACTAAGTAATCAAAGGAAACAACAACCATAATGGGATACAGTGATGTCGTGTGCGTCTTGATAGGAAGCACAGTGACTATTACATTAGTTCTGTGGAGGTTCTGTCAAAGTGTAAACCCTAAATATATCCATGAGGACACATTTGACAGACCAAATTGAGGGACAGTCTACAAAATAAATGGTCTGCATTTTGGGGGGAAAAAGGCAAGGAAAGACTGAGAAACTATTCCCTATTGTAGGAGACTAAAGAGGAATGACAACTGAACAGAATTTGTGGCTTCGGATTGGTTTTCTTCTCATCCTCAGAATGTTGTTGGGTTATTTTGTAAAGTTTAAATAAGACCCACAAATTAGCGAATAGTACCATATCTGTGTTAAATTCCTGATTTCAGCCATTGCATTATAGTTACAGAAATGAAGGCCCTTGTCACTAAGAAATGCGTGGTGCCGTAGAGATGCTATAGGATGTCAAGTCTGTCATTTCCTACCGATGTTCCTGAAAGAGACTAGACAAAGAAGTGGAGAAGAGGAAATGAAAGGAAGGGGCAGGATTTCAGTATTCAGGAATTCCTTGTATTGTTTCTCCTTTTTTTTTTTCCCCATTTATGATTTCTGCAGCTTCTCTTCAAGTTTGAAACTATGTTAAAATAGAGGTCTGAAAAAATAAGAAGAAACAGGATGTAAGCTACATGCACTGAGGTGCCTCTAGCATCTCTCCCATGCACAGGACACATCTCTGTTGAAGGAGTGAGCACTGGCTTATGAGCCAGATGTGCTGGCTTGCAAGGGATCTACCGCAGGCGCATTTTCTCCCCCTGGCTTCCTAACACACCGTCATCCAGCCTACAGATCTGCGGGGTCCTGGGTCTGACTGAGTAAAGTGGGGAGAGGGTGAGGGGCTCTCCACCCCTCACCTACTCACCTGCAGCCACCGTTTCAGGGACACATCTACAGGAACGTAAGATTTTATTACAAATGTTCCCTGGTATGAACAGCAGCGCGGTCCCCGTCCATCATTTAAAAAATTTAGGATGGGAGTGGAGCAAAGATTAGGGTCAAGCCCAGGAGGCGAGGAGGGCAGCTGTGCAGCTGTGGTCCTCCTGCAGGGAGCCCTCGGGTGTGGCTCGTGTGGCGGGGCGCGGGGACTCACCGGGATGCCGTAGCGCGTCCTGTACAAGGTCCTCATAGCCACGCTGGCCCCGCACAGGCAGCACTCGTCCATGTCGGAGGCGATCTGACACGAGAGGCACAGGGGGAAGAAAGTGCCGCAGAGGCCTGCGTGCAAGGGGAAGCCACAAAGAGGAGTTAGTGAGAGTCGTCTCGCCGGCAACAAAATCATGTCTTTCCAAAAGATGCTGGCTCCAGAGACGGCTCTAATGGGCCCCGGAGAAAGCAGTGTTTGTTATCTGGCTTTTTCTGCCTGGCTTCTGGAGCCCTCTGTCCAGCAACTGGGGGTAATTCGTGAGTCACTGTACCGGGTCCAATTTAACTGCAGAAGCTCCTGCCTTGCCATTCAGAGCATGTTCGCATGATCCTTCTTCCCTGCCTTGTGACATTGGGTCTCGCCTGGGGAGGAAATCTGTGGCGTCAGGATGTCTGAGAAGCCCTCTAAAGCATGGCGGGGGGTGGTGTTGAGGGTCAAAACACTGAGTGAACAAATCATTAGGGACAATGAGCAGAAATAGATTCTAGAAGGTCTTTCGGGCAAAAGGACCCCATCATTGTTAGGAGGATGGACGCCCGCAGAAAGGACGGGATTTTGCTCTCAGCTGTTTACAGACCTGAGTGCAGCTCTGCTTTAGAGATGCTCTGCAAGGCCCAGAAAGGGCTCAAGAAAGTGACAACAAACAGGAAACTGTTCTCAGATACGCTTTGAGTGAAAGTCTATTTTGAAAACTGCCGGGGTGGAGTTGTGGTGTGCGGTACCCTAGATGCGATGAGAGAGTCAGCGGTTCTTTGATGACTGTTTTTAAGCAAAAGGCCAAAGATCCGGGAACTTCCATCACCCACGGAAAAAGGGGGCTGTTCCTCACGCCTGAGGTCAGGAGGAACCCCACAGAGAATGTCTGCAACCCCATGGCTCCGGAAAAAGTCTTCTCACTCCAAAGTGTGTTTTGTGGTGGGAAAGAAGTAGAAGTCAGTAAAGCTAAAAGCCTGTGGTGCTTTCTGAAATGGAACAGTGACAAGAGTTGGCAAGAATGGCCTTGAGAGCCGGAGCGCATGGAGCAGCATCGTCAGAGAAGGGAGAGGGAAGCAGAAGACGGAGCAAAGCATCAAGAGTGCGGTGAGCCCAAGAGCTGAAAAATGGCAAACGGCGAAGGATCTCGACAAGGGTCACCGACTCAAGGTCATGCAGGTAAAGTGAGTGGAATAGACCGGAAAAAACCCACAAAATAGCCAATAGCGGGCATGAATAAATACAGCCAACTATAGAGTGAGACTCTCTTTTAATGGGATTGGCTCATGTTAAGAAGCAGCTGAACTCTGCCCTGTGTGATGAAGGCTCATCTTGCCAAATTTTCCAGAGAGAAGTTGGAAATCTAGATTGGAAAGCCAGATCTTTTTGTGTGTGTGAAATCTGATTTTGATGTGTTTCCTGGTATTTTTAAATTACCACATGAAGCAAGTTCATCATGTACAGGACAAACAAAACACATCTGGTGGCTAAACCCACCCATGGGCTTGCAGCTTGTGACTTCCGAGTTGGCCATAGAGTGGGAGCTCGGTGACAGGAGAAGTAGACAAGTTTAATTAGGTCGGGAACCTGCATTCTGGGAGTCAAGGAGGAGAATAATTAGGCGCACTTACAAATCCCCAGGTCATCGCAGCAGTCAAATACGCCGGTTTGCCAGTCACTGTTCATCACACCCCCCGTGCCGTATCCAGGTTGCGAAACAATTGGATTCATTTTTAAGGTGAGTTCCAGAGGGCACTGCCTGTGAAAACAAAACCAGAAAAGTGTGAGACACCTACCTGTTCTGGTAGGATATCCTGATCCCAGCTGAGCAGTCTTCTCATCACACCTCTCCTGAATCACGGTGGCCGCCCTCGACTGACTCAGCAAGACGTTTCTAGACTATCGTCTGTACTCGGTAATGAGAGACTTCACGGACACGGAGTGGGGGTTCCTTCCACAGGTTTTCTGGGGGTTTTATTGCCCCTTCCTCTGATCCTTTTTATCAGCAAGATGATTTTTTTCCTTCTATTTCAAGACAACCTTCTTAAACAAAGTCTTTTTTGCACACGTGATATTCTATTTAATAGTGATTGTAATAACTTTTACAATGCTATTACACAGGCATTACCTCAATTGTCCCTCAATCGAACCTTGTGAGACAGAGTTCTTTACTTGTGCAAGAAAGTTCTCATTACACCAGCGCTTCTAGATAACTCCAGTCCTCATTGCATAATTGCTAGTCGTATCCTGATAGCTGGAGTTTTAACAGATGTCCTTGGTTACTTAAAAAAAAAAGCCCAAAACACCAAAAACCAATTAACTTCTTTTTGTGAAATCATCAGGCCAGAATCTGGGGGGGGGGGGGGGGGGGAAGGCCCGGGGGCTGGACTTCAAGCTTCCACAGAAAAATCCAGTAGTGGCAAAACCACTAAAAACAGTGTCCCTCGAACAAAGTGGTGCCTATATGCGTCTCAGATTTCATCCAGCGATCAAGCGAAGTCTCCTGGGCTCTACCCAGTCAGGAATCCCAAGGGAGAGAATGTATCTGGTTTCACAACGGCTAATGTAAAACTTTCTTCTTCACTACTTCACATCTAACCCTACGCCATGCTCTGTAGCCCTTGCCCCGGCTCGCCTCTCACACTCCCCTTAGCCAGGTGCAAGGACGTCCGGCCCCATTATCCATCCCCTCTTCTCCCTGTCGCTGGGAAGGCCCCGATCAAAGATGTTCCCAGAGCACATCTCAGTCTTGACTGTGCACTAGTGCACGGTTGAAAACACAGTTACTTGATTCCGACTCAGTAGCTGGGGTGGACCCTCTGTAAGTAAAAGTTCTTGTGATGCAGACAGTTCTGGGGACACTGAGTACAGGTCATTTCAGTCTTGCTCAGCCCTTCCCGGCCGGTCTTCTTAGCTCTTCCCCTGCCCTGCTCTTTCTCCAGATGGATTTTGTCTCCACTGAGATCGTGGCTATGATCATTTGATTCCCCACCAGATGAGTCCCCACAAAAGGGGTGGAGGTGTTCTGGAACAATAAGAGCCAGGGCACTCCGACCACCCTCGAAGGCTGCCTCTAGCATTTATCATCAAGCATCTGCTTTACGACACGGAGGGAAAACCAGCCGACCGAGAAGGCTCTGTGATTACTGTCACCTCGCGCCAGGAACTATGGTTGAAACTCTACAGCTGGGTAAACATTTCGTTGGAGTCCAAAGGTCTTTCTCCTCTCTGATGATTTAGGAGGACTGCGATAGCTTTCTTACTCTTATGTAATCATAGTGGGCACATGATGTGAATTCGATCTACTATCTGCGGAATAGTTACAGAAGTTGAATAAATTGCATAGGTAATATGTTGTTCAACACTGAATGTTAGAGATACACTTTTGGCCTCAAGGATGAATGACCCAATACCTTCAAAATACGTACTGGGAAAAGCATGACACAAAAGGTACACATAGCTGTTGCTGCTACGGGTGTGTCATTCAAGAAAAAACAATATGCCAGTAGAGCTGTGTTCTTTTTTTTTTTTAAAGATTTTATTTATTTATTTGACGGAGAGATCACAAGTAGGCAGAGAGGCAGGCAGAGAGAGAGGAGGAAGCAGGCTCCCCGCTGAGCGGAGAGCCCGACGCGGGGCTCGATCCCAGGATCCTGGGATCACGACCTGAGCCGAAGGCAGAGGCTTTAACCCACTGAGCCACCCAGGCGCCCCAGTAAGGCTGTGTTCTTAATAGAAAAGTACTTCTTGCAAGAATCAATGCTTCGGATGAATAGAGTCACACAACCAAACCAATGAGTCTAGCCAACGTATCGAAACGGAAAACTATGTGAAACTTCAAGACCCTAATCCTAACAATTGTTCCAGGCAGAGACTCTATCTCAACAATTCTTCCAGCGCTTCCTTGCCCTTTGTGCAGCCCTGGGAACGTCTACTTGCCGTGGTCAGTAGTTTATAGTAAGTGTACAGTTTGGCTGTGTTTGGTATAAAAACAAAATGCCAGGGAGCAGGGGCACCTGGGGGACTCAGTGGGTTGGGCCTCTGCCTTCAGCTCAGGTTATGATCCCAGGGTGCTGGGATCGAGCCCCGCATTGGGCTCCCTGCTCGGTGGAAAGCCTCTCCCTCTGCTTGTCACTCCCCCTGTTTATGGTCTCTCTCTCTGTCAAGTAAACAAATAAATCTGTTAAAAAAAACAGCTGGAGAATCAGTCTGATAGGGACCATGAAACAGGCATCTGTTGTGATTGTCCCAGCCACAAGTCACACCGACCCTAGATTGTACTGTGTGTTAATTCAACTAACTTAATTCCTAATCTAACACAGGGACTCTTGCCGCTTGTTTTGTAACCTCTGAATTCCCTTCCTTGAAGTAAGGTGTTAGAAGTACATTGTAAAAACACTCTGTACTGTATGCGTGTGTGCATGTGTTGTAGGTCTATCCGTAGGTTTTGCGCTTCTCTATGTGGCTGGATGTACACTAAGCAGCGGTGGTTCTTACGTTACACCATGCACAGGACTCACTTAGGATCCTTTTAGCATGTGGAACCTAATTCGGTGGGTCCAGAATGGGACCTGAGGCTTGCTTTTTTTTTTTTTTTTAAAGATTTTATTTATTTATTTGGCAGATAGAGATCACAAGTAGGCAGAGAGGCAGACAGAGAGAGGGAGAAGCAGGCTCCCCGCTGAGCAAAGAGCCCGATGCAGGGCTCGATCCCAGGACCCTGGGATCACGACCCGAGCCGAAGACAGAGGCTTTGACCCACTGAGCCACCCAGGCCCCCCCTGAGGCTTGCTTTCTTAACAAACTCTGTGGGTGTGCCAGTTCTGCTGGTATCTGGCCCACACTTTGACTCCTCAGGGTCTAGATTGTGATTAGGAACTGGGTTCCAATCTGTTTTCCACTGCTATGTTTTCTTGGGCAAATAAGCTAACTTCTCTGTGCCTCAGTTTTGACAACTTTAAAATGAGTGCAGTAGCATTCTTCTCATGGTTTGTTGTGTTACTGTGATGAGAGTAGGTCGGCAGACCATGTCTGCTCAACACTGTTTCTTGTATGTCCGTGAGCTGACATAGGCACCCCTGTGTCTCTTTGAGACTAAATGTCGTTACGTAGCGGGTCCTGTGACTGATTCATAGTGAGGGGCCATGCCTGGAATCACAGCTCCCGAAAACTAACACAGCGGTGCTGCAGTGTGCAATGGGTGTTGATCTGAAAGCTTGGACTGACGTCATTGCTTTATTTGGCAAGACCCAGTAAGATCCCATTACATGAAGACAGATTGAAATGTGCCAATCTGGAGCTCAGTCATGAAGCATCTGCCTTCAGCTCAGGTCATAATCCCAGGGTCCTGGGATCGATCCCTGCGTCGGGCTCCCTGCTCAGCGAGAGCCTTCTTCTCCCTCTCCCACTCCTCCTGCTTGTGTTCCCTCCCTTGCTGTGTTTCTTTCTGTCAAATAAATAAATAAAATCTTTAAAAGAAAAAAGAAAACTGCCAATCACCATATATGTGGAAGAGAGAGTCTACAGAGTGTCTAAGTGCCAGGAAAGCAGGTGGAAAACCTGAGTGTGATCTGTTGCCGACATGACAGTGGCTCACACTTGCAAGGAGCATTCTACTTTCTAAATGTGTTCCCGTCTGAGCTCTGGTTAATGCCGATCTCTTTCATGTTCCCAGCAGACTGCAGCACGCGGGGAAAGAAGGCTGATAAGATGCTTCCTATTGCACACACGGAAACTGAGGCAAAGAGTGACATGCCAGGGCCAAGGAAAAGTCATGATCGCTAGTCCAACATCCTTAATTTATAATAAGGACATGAGGACGAAGACTGAGTATTGCCCTGCACCCTCTTCCCAGTCTCATCAGGGGGGAAAAATTTATATATATATATATATATATGACATTATAAAACCTGAAGATAAAAAAGTGGACCAGGCAGCATGATCCAGTGGTTTCCATTATCGACACTGGCCACAGACTCCCAGCTTTCCAGTCACTAGCTAATGAATGACCCTGTGACTCAGTGTCCTCATCTGTGAAATGGGGATATGCGCAATGGTAGCTTATAAAGCCGTCAGGGTCATTGAATAATATTTGAGTGATTTGAGTGATTAGAGGGATGTCTGGCATGGGGTAAATTCTTCACGAGCAGCAGTTACATAAAAGAGAATACTTGCCCCTTGAGGGAAATTGGTAAAATCCCCGCCCTTCCCTCACACGCTCCCATACACTGTGGAACACGGGCACGTCTTCCACAAAGCCGCAGAGGAAGGGGAAAGAAACAGAAAGTAAGTCATATGTCCAGGGAGACAGAGTGGCAGGGCTGGGATTTGTCCTTGTTTTTTTTTTTTTTTTAAGATTTTATTTATTTATTTGACAGACAGAGATCACAGTAGTCAGAGAAGCAGGCAGAGAGAGAGGAGGAAGCAGGCTCCCTTCTGAGCAGGGAGCCCGATGCGGGGCTTGATCCCAGGACTCTGGGATCATGACCTGAGCTGAAGATAGAGGCTTTAACCCACTGAGCCACCCAGGTGCCCCAAGGGCTGGGATTTGAATTCAGTTCTTGGGACTCTAAAGCTCTTAAGCTTGTTTCCGCGGAGTCTGTCCATCTGGGATTATGAATCTCGGCCAGCTAGAGTGAGCAGACCTGTTCGGGAAGGAAAGTAAGCACTACTTAGGGTGTCCCTTCCCAGGCAAATTTTGAAACTGTAGAGAGGTGGACAGTTTGAGACTGACTTCGCTTTCCTAAGTCTGCCTGTCAGTCCGCATGTGTGTGCTTGTGTGTGTTTATCTAGGTATGTATTTTTAGTGTCTTGAACCCAGACACTCAAAACTTCCTCTAGAGTTCCACCATGCGTGTTCAGGTAACTGGTTCACAACCAGGATTGTTTTGCTCCCTGCCCCCAGGGGACATTTGGCAATGCTTTGAGATATTTTTGGTTGTCCCAACTGGGAGTGAGGTGCTATGGTCATTCTAGTGGGTGGAGGCCAGAGATGTTGCTAGACAATCTGCAAAGCACAGGACAGCCCCCACAACAACTAATGTTTTATCTCCACATGTCAACAACAGTGCTGCAACGAGAAACCGTGGTTCAAAAACATCAAGGGCACCAGGAAGCCTGAGCTTCTGGAAGGTTCTAACGGTGTCTGATTCAGTTTCCCAGGGATGTAGAAACTGGGTCCACAGCAGCCAGACAAGCAGTCCTTGTGAGGAATGGGACCTAACACGTTGTTTCCTAGTCACACATGTTTCAAAAGCTAGAACCCGGGGATTGTTGCTTGCCCCGGTTTCCCCGTGGATTTGTTCACACCCTATTCTGAAATCCATCTCCTGTGTGGCAGATCCTGCTTGTCTCTCCCCTCCCACCCACCTGTCTCTTTTTCTTTTGCTTCTTGTTCCTATGTGGACAGCGTAACTCTCCAGTTCTACTTTTTTCTCCCTCTTCCAATAAACTTCTTTTTTTTTAAAATTTAAAGTCAATAAATTTTTATTTAAGAAATTTTACACTTGATTCCTTCCACTGCCAATCACTATAGTTCCTCCAAAATCAGAATCATAATCTTCAAAATAGCCCTTTTAAAAAGAACTTTTGTTCAATACGGTAGAATTCTTTCCTTCAGTGGATCTCCATTTGATCTCCATTTGAATATGGACATACTTCAAAAATTCCCCACCTGTAATCTTTGGGGTCCAACTTCTTTACTTTACTTTACTTTACTTTACTTCTTTACTTTAGAGCAATGTTTAGGGTCAGAGTAGGGGGATCTGCCTGGTTCTCAGACACCCTCTAAACATGAATGCGTTCAAATCCTGCTCACCCCTAAACTATCACACCCAAGACTTGTACAGATTGCTGGGATACCCCAATACCCAAGATTTAAAAATGTGACTATGAGGTCCTTCACATGGTTTTAGCAGGTAGATGTCTTGCAGGTCCTTCCCACAGATTTAACACAAAGTTTTGTGAATAAAAGAAACCACGCATATACTCTAGAAGGTATTTCCAACCATACGGGTCTACAGAAGGAGCGCCATCGGGATAGACCTCCACTCTTTCGGTAGACCTCCCACCGAAGTCCAGTATACATTTAGTGAAGTGCAGAACTCGTCAGCATGATCGGTGAATTTAACGTGAACCATTCTGTCCTTGTGACCACAGCCTGACTCAAGAAGGACAATGAGCAGCACCACAGAAGCCCTCCTCACTCTCTTAGGAAGTCCCTCTGCCTCTGCCATGTTTTAGCCTTACGTCTGTTCAATTATACGCACTATGTATTCTTCTGTGTCTGGCTTCTTTCGTCCAAAGTTAGGACTGTGAGATGCAACCATGGAGCATACAGCAATACTTCATTTATCCTCATTAACATATAATAAATCATCACACAGATGAAGTACAACTTATTTATCCGTGCTGCCATTGTATTTTTTCCAGTTTGGACCATTAGGAATGGTCACCTAGTGCTATGGACAGTCTTGCACATATCTTTAGGTGGACGAGGCACGTGTTCCTGCTGTGTCTACCAGGAGTAGAACTGCTGGGTCCTAGGGTTGGCAGATAGTGCCAGACATTATTGTCAAGTAGTGGTGCCAATTTACACTCCCATCAGTAGTGGGTGAGAGTTCCATTTGCCCCACATCCTTGTCAATACCTGGTGATGCCACCATTTTTCTTTTTACCCAGAGGGTGCTACGAGAATCTGGGAAATGGAAGCCTATGCTTAAGACTGAGAAAAACAGAAATTATGGTTAAATGGTTAAATAGAATTTAGGGTAAAAAAATAAAGGCGGTTCTGTTAAATTTGAATAAGTAAGTCCCAAGTAATATTTGAGACACACTTATATTAAAACACTTTTCATTCTTTAGTTATAATTCAAATTTAACTGGGCATTCTCCATTTACCTGGAAGGTTTTGGAAATAACTTTGGAATTAGAGAGTATCATGTTGGGTGGGGCACTTTCTGCCTCCCAATTTACAGGAATGGGATTGGTGTGGGGGAGGCCAAAACAATAGAGCTTTCCTAGGCCGTGCAGGAAGCTGTCTCCCACTCCCCAGGGAGTGAACAGAGGCCAAAAGACACTGATGGAGGCCACGATTTATGATTTCTGTCTAAATTCTTAGAAGAGCATTTCCTCTGGGAATGCAGTTGTTTATTCATGGATCAAGGAAGGAAACTGAAATTTCTTGAACAGTTTCTACTGCCAGTTTCCACGTTAGGCAATCTTAGGCATGTGGTGGGATTCTAGCCTCATAACAATTTTTTCTCCTAATTTGAAATCAAATAGCTAGAGCAGTGTAGCCAGGTTCCCAGGCAGGTGAGCTGAAGCCAAAGTCCATATTCTTCCATTCTACCAAGTCCTATCTTCCAAGTCCTATCCTTGGAGGAGTCCCACTGATGGGCCTGGTGCCTGCATGAGTTCCATTTCTCTCAACCAGGCTCAGCTGTGCCGATCAATCTACCAAACTCTTGAATGTCAGCCACCTTGGGTCTCCCCAGACTCCTCATTCCCCTATTTCCTTCACTCCTTTCTCCTCTGTCCACCTCCTTCTGGCTTTCAGTTTTTTATCAGATCATCCCATGGGTTATATGCAACCCATTTCTGGAAACGTAGAGTAAATAAAGTCAACTGGGAAGGCCTTGCTTCGAGTCACTTGGAGCTTCTCCATCACCCTAACATCCCCCAGCCCGTGTTTCAGTGCTGGGTCTGAGTCTGCTTCTGGAACTATTTGTTCCACTGCCCTGCGTCTCAAGCTGAATTCTAAATTCTCTGCATCACATAGGGACTCTGTCTATGTACCTGTTGCATACAGACCAGAAAATGCCATTCCAAAATATGCTTCTTTGGCATAAGAGTTATTTTTGAGTCCATTATTTTGAGAAGCAGCACACACAGGAAAAGCTCTGAAAACAGAGTCAAAGTTACCCTTTCAGGGAAAATTTCCATTTATAAGTGTTCCATTCTCCTATCAGGAAGACAGGAATGACTCTATACCACGAGAGACACTAATCAATGTAAAACTTACGGACTTAAATCTGCATGGCAAATCTTACCCTTATGTTCCCGCTCTCCTCCCCAGTCATGACTTCCACCACACCTTCTCTCCAGTGCCTTTAGCTGAAGCGGCCGTTTAAGTCTGAATTCAAAGCCACCTTTGAAAGTTACTCTTTTTCCTGCGTATCTCCCATGTATATGAGATACATGTGTAATCAACTTCTGTTTTTCTCTTCTTAATCTTTTCTCTCAGGGGCCCTAGGTGAGAACTTGAAAGTGTAGAGGGTGAATTATTTTTTTTCTCACCTCCAAGTCATTTCTGAAAATTTAGCCCAACCATGAAAATTCTCAGTTATAAGGAAATTTAAAAATAATTATGCATAGTTGAAAAGATGACATTTCTTAATTTAAACTAAATAATATCTGGAAGCAAAAGCCTCTGGTTACTGTCCAGGGTGATGAAGGGGTGGGAGGAGGGCATTCTGCCCAACTTAGTGAAGCCCTCATGTTGGGGCTTAGCTGACCACACATCCCTTTTCCTTATAGACTTGGATTGGAAAGGAGGCTCCTCACTTACCGGTATCTGGCTTCTAAGCTTCCCTTCTTCCCCAGACACACTCGGATCCTGCTTTTCCCCCCCAAAATCTCCCTCTTTGAGCTTCTCCAGCACCCAGAAGCACCACAGCATGCCTGCTGCTGGTCCTTGCTCTGATCTGCATCGGAGCCAGTTTTCCGGGTCACCTACAGAGCCCTGCATTGCCCTTATCCCAATAGGTTCCTGACTAATGTACCACCGATCACATCATTTTGTGAAATTTTAGCAAAACAATGAAAACTGTGTTATACGTAAATTTAAAATCAATTGTGTGTAACTGAAGTTATGGCATTTCCTAATTGAGGCTAAATAATTTCTATAACCAAAAAGCTGCCCCAAAACATTTCCCCTTTTGTTAAAAATGATGCTTGTGGGGCGCCTGGGTGGCTCAGTGGGTTAAAGCCTCTGCCTTCAGCTCAGGTCATGATCCCAGGGTCCTGGGATCGAGCCCCGCGTCGGCCTCTCTGCTCAGTGGGGAGCCTGCTTCCTCCTCTCTCTGCCTGCCTCTCTGTGATCTCTGCCTGTCAAATAAATAAATAAAATCTTTAAAAAAAAATGATGCTCGTGCTTGGTCATCCCTAAATCAGAGCTCTCTCTGGAGTATTTGAGTATTTGATGTTCTCAACTGGGAATTTTGCTGACACCAGAGAGTCCTTTATCCTACTTTCATCAAAGAAGTAAAGGTTTTTGCTCACCGAAACATTTAACTGGGGCGAGGGTCAGGAACAAAGGACACAGGACACATTGGATCCTCCCAGGTCTCTCGTCCTCCTATCATCACTAGACTCTCTGGTGATATAATTAATTCAGCTTCTGCTCCACTTTTGTCTTAAAATTTGTTAATCTGCTGTCAGGCATACATGGCTCTTGGGGAAGAATGCCTGTTCACTTCTGAATCATTTCAGGATGCCCTCAGAAGAGGACCCACCTTATTTTTTTCAGTCCTTTGATTACCATTTCCATCCCTTATCAAGTCAGGCCACAGTGCTCACCAGTCTGTAGGAATTCCCTCCATCCTGTTCCCGCCCTGAGCTCCTGCCCCTTGTTTCCCTACTTACCTGTTAACATCTCATCTCAAATGACACCTCCTCTGTGAAGCCATGTTGGATTTGCTTGTCTTCTTGCTCAACTTTTTCAACGTTCTCATGATGTGGTGGAGAGTCTCCTGGATGTGGGGGTCAGCACACTGGACACTAACTACACTAGGTACTCGGCTATCTTTGTGCCCTTTATGTCTAAATGCCAATAACAGTATCTCCACTTCCTTTTCCCAAGGTCATCAGGAAAGCCCTTGCTACACTAACTTCAGAGATGTGCAAACTGAGCCCTTAGATTTCTATTTTGTTTTCTTTTTGCGGGTTTTTCTGAGGGTGAAAGTGGGTTCAGTTGTCTGGGTCCCCCTAAAACTGTGACTTGCATATAGCCTAGAAAATACTAATTATTGGGGTTCAGGATACACTACCCTGAACTACGGAGGCTTGGCACATTGAATATTATTAAGCTGAAGGAGTTTGAGAAAATGGTAGAAAGTGGAAGGTCATTTTTACCTCTTTTTCTTGCCCTTCTTCCTTAAAACCAGGAGACAAACCTGTCATGTGAAAGCTAGCTCCCCAGTACCAGGAACTACTATTGACAACTAGTGGATAGAGGCCAAGGCCAAGGACGTACCCCCATTCTTCCCTCCAAATCCTCCATTTAATACCCCATTCCTGCCAAGAATAAATTATTTGCCCTAACAGTGTCAAGGCTGAGAAACTCTGATTCATACTCTCTTATTGTTAAGATTTGAGCAGCTTACAGACCTCCATATAAAACAAGATACAAAATGAAAAATGAAGAAATTGGTCACAGGGAAAATAAAGTCTGGAGCAAATGTAGCACATGCTTTAAGATTCCTCGACAGTGCTGGACATGGGCTATATATGAGGTTTTGGGCTTCCTGCCAGGCAAAGCAAAGAGTGAACACCTAGAGAAATTCCTCATCAAAGTCCTCAAAAGGGAGATGATATATAGTATATGACATGCGATGGTCAAAGCCTTTATCTCCACAATAAACAAAACAGTGACTTCTAAGAATTTATTTCCTACTATACCGTTAAAGTGCAATGGGGGAGTAGAATCACTCAGAGGGATCTATGAACAGCTAAAATGATCCCAGCCAACTGCTTATCTCTCTGATCATCGGGATGATTCAGGATTAAAATTCAGATTTAAAATGTAGATTGTTGGGGTGCCTGGGTGGCTCAGTGAGTTAAAGCCTCTGCCTTTGGCTCGGGTCATGGTCCCAGGGTCCTGGGATTGAGCCCCGCATTGGGCTCTCTGCTCAGCGGGGGGCCTGCTTTCCCCCGCTCTCTCTGCCTGCCTCTCTGCCTGCTTGTGATCTCTCTCTCTCTGTCAAATAAATAAATAAAATCTTTTTTAAAAAATAAAATAAAGTAAAATGTAGATTGTTCAGAGAGACACA